CCCCAAAACCCCAAAACCCCAAAACCCCAAAACCCCTGATAATAGATAATAATAGAATTTATTTGGAAATATGGAGAAGAACGGACTCTTCGACTCAGATGAAGAAGAGAAGATTGAGTACCAACCAGAAGTGGAATCACCAGATCCTAACCTTGGAGTGACTATGGATATCCATCCAGCATCCAGGGAGACTCAGTTTATGACATCAAGTGATGTCTCACCCTCTGGGAATCCACCTCCCGGAGGATATGGCAGCAGTGATGATGATATTGAAGAAGTAGTAGATTCTGGGGAAAATAATAAGTTTGAATTTGAAGTTCCATACCCTGACGTTCAAATTGAAGACTCAACATGGTCAGTTTCACAGCCTACAAAGATGGGACACATCACCTACACTGTCACTGGAGAGGACAAAGACGGCCCTTTCGAAGGAAGCAGGAGATATAAGGATTTTTTCAGCTTGAGACAGGCTCTTGTCAAAAGATGGCCAGGAGTGTATGTGCCCCCAATACCACCAAAACAAAGCGTGGGAAACAAGAAGGATAAATTTATTGCCAACAGGATGTATTTTCTTGATATATTCATGAAAAAGATAAGCAAAATCCCTTATTTAGTCCAATCTGAGGAGTTTCAGAGGTTCTCGAAGCCATCAGGAGACATTACAGCTACCTTTAACACTCTAGGCCCAATCTCTCCTCAAGACTTAAAAGAGAGACTCGAGAACGACCTCGGAGTCAGCTCAGAGCTTGATGAATCAGTTGTGAACCAGAGCAGAGAACAAGTGAACGATTTTCAATCTTTCTTGAAGAAAATCCTTCCCACTCTCAAGGCTCTTCTTGAGGAGGCCGAAAAAATGGTTGGCGCCAAGGAGAACCTAAATAAAAGGACCGGAGCAATCATTGATGCCATGTCCTTTTACGAATCCAACGGCCTCTCCAGATTTGTTGACCAAGATGTCACCAGAATGGTAGTCGAAAATCCTGAAGACCCTGAGATGAAAGCTAAATCTGATGGAATAGGCAAAACCTTCAAAAATACCTTCAAAGACTTCTATTTCTGGATCAGAAGCTCTCAAATGGATGTTGAAGCAGTCATTGATGCAGTCAGTGGGAGGGACAAAGTAGTTCAAAACAGAGTAAAGCTCATCAACAAGCAAAAGAGCGAGAAGAATGAGCTTGATAATATTAATAACAAGAAAAAGACTCTAAAGTCTCTATTCCAGTCTGCATCCTCAAAGCAAAGCAGGGCTGTCTTCCTTACTACAGATATTGAAAAGCTTGAGAACGACGCCAAAGAATTAGACGTGATCATCAAAATGCTGAATTGCTACATCGCAGAAAACATTATCCCAGTTTTCAAGGAAAAGCAGATAAAGGAGTATTATGAGTTCCTCAACTTCCTAGCAAGAAGAGAAATCAATAACAGTGCAGCAACCATCTCCTTCTGGTCTGATTTTATGAAGAACGAGAATGTCTCAGCTGCTTCATCATAGTTCTCAATATCCATTAACCTTGGAGGGGTTTTGGGGTTTTGGGGTTTTGGGGTTTTGGGGTTTTGGGG